CCAGCTGAGCCTCTCTGAAACACAGGTGGAGTCACAGAGGCGATTGCTCTTTATCCTTTAGTCACATGGACTGTCCCACAAAGCTGGGCCCTCATGAAAGGAAATGTGGGTGGAATTTGCTAAGAGAATGCGTAAGCGTGCTGTTCCTGCGGATATTCTGTTCCACAGGTGGGCGGAGCAGTAGGGAGGGGAAACATGAAAAGTCTTATTCCCAAGAAGTTGATAGATGAGCAAAGGAGATGATAGTATAAGCAAAAAAAAGGCAGGGGTGGGGGTAATGCAAGACTTATAATAACCTCAAACAAAAGAAATGCTGGGTTTCTTGTTACCCCTCTCTTTTTTGGCTTTGGAAAGTGAGGGTCCCCTGAAGCCACAAAGGGTGGACCCACAAATGGAGAGCAGCAGGAACCTGTGCCACGCTGGGAGCTTGGCCATGTGTTTTGTTGGCCCCGTTCATTCCCGACAATCTGAGGAAAGTGCTGTCAAGCCCTTATGGAGGAGGAAGTTCAAGCTCAGAAACTTGCCCGAGGCTCTGAGTGTCTCAGCAACAACTGAGCCAGGCCTTTGACTCCGAGGCCCATCACACCGACATTCTCTGCAGTTAAAAGGTGTCCCTCTCCTTCCCAGCACTGTACATTATACCCCAGGGAGGCCGATCTCTTCGGAGTTCCTTTAGCGGAATTGGGATGTGACACCAGGACCCTGTGCTGGGGTGCTAATCTGAAGGAGGGCTGGGAGGCACATGCTTTGGCTGCTAGTCTGAGGGGGACAGGGCCTAGGACCGTGGTCTGGGTGCTAGTCTGAGGGAGGGCCAGGACCCCGTACCGGATGTCTATAAGAGGCTGCATTTTAGCCTCGAATCCATCACTTTAGTGTTGTTAGTAGGCACTTAAGTGCTCATGATAGCTTACGGTCTAGTTGGGTGTTTTTAAAAGATCCTTCTATTCAGAAGATATTTACTTAATCCTCATGCACACAGCACTCTGAGTAATACAAAGATGAGTCAGACCCCAGTCTTCTCTCTTTCCAGGAAAGCCTTATTGATAGAGACATCTGAAATGGTTGAATAATTCTTCTGTTCTGTCTTCAAGATTTTACTCTTCTCTTTCATTAAAGACCTTTCCCCAGATTTCTGTCCGTCATTGTCTTTTCTCTTTTGGAAGCCTTAAGATTTTGCTGTTGTGTTCTGTTTTTCACACGAACCCACCCCATGTCACTTCCACTGTAAATCAACTTTTTTAGGCTGCCCCTCAGTTCTCACCAGGAGTGCAGAGTGCCCACTCAGACCGTTTCCCCGAAGAATGGGCCAGGGATCGGAAGCACTTAGCCCATAAGCGTTGAGTAAGATCGAGGTGGGGGTGGCGATATCTGGCAATGGCAGGTGGGGCTCAGCTCTAGTCCATGGCCCTGCAGGAGGCTGTAAGTTCATATGGACAAGTGCTAAGGCCAACACTCCAGGGAAGAACTTTCTCACCCACCATCTGAGGCACTTGTGCTAACGCCACTCCGTTTTCCACAGTGTGCTGGAGAAGAGAATTGGGTCGACAATCGGACTGTTTACGTGGGACACAAGGAGCCCCCCCCAGGTGCTGAGGCCTACATTCCGCAGAGGTACCCAGATAACAGAATAGTCTCCGCCAAGGTAAACTCCTTGTCTTTGTGTTTATTAACTTCCTTTGGGGAGCATTGGGATTTTCTGACAGCAGTTAGCAGCCCTCCTCCGAGAACTGCCATTACAGCGGCTCTCCACTCCCGACCGAGGGCTGTGATTGCAGTTTACACGGGGCTTGTGAACTCGTTATCCCTCTGCTTGTCTCCAAAACACTGTTCAGACTTGCCAAGATGTAACAGCACATTTTCTCCATTTCTCTTAATTATATCATGATATAGTATCACATTGGAAGTCTAGGACATTCAGTTCCTACTATTGCCACTTATTTATTTGCTGTCTGGCCATGTGCCCATCACGAACCACCCCCGGCTGGAGTTTCCTCATCTGTGAATAGAGACGACGAGACGATGTTAGATGTCTCCCGTGAAAGGGTGTGTGCGCGACCACCTTGTAAACAAAAACACCGGATCCATGTGGAGTCTGTCAACTAGGTGCAATAAATACAAAGAAGAAGAAAAGTGATTAGAATGTCATCATTTGAACATAGTGCCCTGTTTTTGTTGACTGGGGTGGGACTGCAGAGGCATATTTTACACATGGAGAGAGTAACCCGGTGAATGGGTCTTGAGAATAGGCTGGAAAATTTTGTAGTTGGCTTTTGACAAAAAGGTAAATGATGGCTTTCAGGATTATGGAGAACTTTCCTTTTAGGTGCCTACACACACATGTCCATGAAGGCATACACACATTCCTGGGTGCCTACACACATGTGTCCATGAAGACATACACACATTCCTGGGTGCCTACACACATGTGTTCATGAAGGCATATATACATTCCTGGGTGCCTACACACATGTGTTCATGAAGGCATATATACATTCCTGGGTGCCTACACATGTGTCCATGAAGGCATACACACATTCCTGGGTGCCTATACACATGTGTTCATGAAGGCATATACATGCTCTGGGTTCACTAGCTGTATAGATCTGGGATAGACTGACTGGATTCACACGTGAGTGGCCAGTTGTGTAGCTCTGTGTGGTCCACCTGCTTCATTCTTCTATGAGCTATCAAAGAATGTTTGTTAAGAACACTTGCAAACAGAAACACATTATTTTTCAAGGCAGTTTTTTAATGGAATTATTTTATTTTAAAATTGCAATACATAATAATAATAATAGCAGCTTCAATCTCCAAAAACACAGTGTGGATAATTGCTCATAAACAAAATCTCAACCAAATAAATGGAGTATGCATTTACCCAGATATGATCTATGAAAGGAGAAACAAAATGAAGGGGAATTCCACATCCAAACATGCGTCTGTCCAGCAGTGACATTTATAAATTTAACGCAGTCTTAAGTAGAGATCACTAAAGATGATTTCTATGCACATATGTACCTTGTCAACCCACTAGTGTGGCTGAAAAAGAAAAAATCTCAAAAACATTTCTTTTTCAAAAAGGTTTTTAAATTTTTCCATTGCAATTGACATACAATAATATCTTAGTTTTAGTTGCACAAAATAGTGATTAGACATTTACATAATTTAAGGGGCACCCCGTCTGACACCGTGCATAGTTACTACAGTATTATTGACTGTATTCCCTATGCTGTACTTTACATCCTTGTGGCTATATTTTATTTATTTATTTAAAAGTATTTTTATTGATTTCAAAGAGGAAGGGAGAAGGAGAGAGAGAAAGATAGAATATCACCGGTGAGAGAGAATCATTGATTGGCTGCCTCCTGCACGCCCCCTACCGGGGATGGAGCCTGCAACCTGGACACGTGCCCTTGACTGGAATCAAACCTGGGACGCTTCAGTCTGCAGGCCGATGCTCTACCCATTGAGCCAAACCAGCAGGGGCCCCTGTGACTATTTTTACAATTGGCAATTTGTACTTCTTAATCCCTTTATCTTAATCTCTTAAGCACCCCCCCAACTCCCTCACATCTAGCAACCATCAATTTATTCTCATTTCTTAAAAATCTACTCCTTTGCAGCACAAATGCACCAGGAAATGGGGCAGTGCACTGAAAAATATTAAAATGTTGTGCCATGTGTGAACTTGTCAGGACAGGAGTTGGGGTACAGGTGATGGGGTGACCTGCCCATTATGCACAGTGTCTAGTCTGGGTAGGATGTTTGTCAAAACACTTTAGCCGCTGATAAAATCCCTGTGCAGCTGCCTTCTCCCTCCAGGACAAAGCTTGGCCTCAAACCTTTCAGCCCCAGGTCCACCAGGAGACGTGGAAAGTTCTGTACAAGGCTTTGTGGAGGAACTTTCTGGAACACAAAGCACCTTATTGACTGCAGGCATCAGAGAGTTGTGGGTTGAAAGCCCCTGTCAGTGTTTTGGGGAAGAAAACTGAAAGCAGTGATTTCTAAATCCCATCCCCTTTGTTATCTGATTCAAGTTTCAGAACCAATTTATTATTTTCCTATTTTTCTTTCAAATATTCCCTCAGTCGATAGCCAACAATAATTTTGCGATGTCTTGTCTTACCTCCTCACTCTGCAGCTCACCACCCTTTCCTTTGCTGACGTATCGTTTCTCTCCCTGCGTGGCACCTGCCTGGCCCCAGCTGCCTTACGTGCACGGGAGCCCCCAAAGCCTCCTGGGTTGCTGACAAAGGAAACCCTTTGCTGGACATTGGGTTTGATAAGGACTTGCAGATTCCTGGTGGCCTTTTTGAAACTTTTTTGCTCAAGAAAACTCCTTCATACCAGGAAACTCCAGAGTAGGAACTAATAGAATTAAGTCAACATCTTTTCAGGAGGTGGGTCAGGCTGAGTCTCCACAGAAGAGGGGTTGAGTGTTGGGTAAAGTACTCATCCACTTTCATCTCAGCTCAGAGTGGACGGGGGACTGTGCCTCTCCAGTTCATGTGTGTGCAGAGAATGATCTGCATTCCTCAAAAAGCAGGATTAATGCCTTTATATCAGTGGATGAAGGTGTATCAATTCAAGGGAAAGTTATGTGCAACATCACATGACCTTTATTGCTAATCAAATTCAGTGCGGAAGAGGACCTCAGAAAGACAAGGACTTAGACTCTAAGCTGGAAGCTGGGTGGACAGTGGCATTGATTTAGATCCACTGGTGTAGAAATCCAGGGAACGAGATGGTTTTCATTTGAAAACAGCATAGGATGTATGAAAACTACATTTAATTTGCAAAATATAAGTTTACAAGCAGGTTTGGAAAATACGTTTGTGGTAATGTATGATTTCTTGGGAAGAAAATTTTTATTGCTACCTAAAGGAAAAGACTGCTAGCTAAGACTTCTTCAGGACACAACAGCGTGTGCTCAGGAAGTCTCATTTATCATGGGCATATTTATACTAGGGGATGAAAAGGCCAATCTAATTATGTTAAACTTCTGGCCTGTGGCATGGAAGCACGGTCATTGGCAATCAGTGATTGATTTGACTTCCATTTCCTTTTTGGGGGAGGCACACCCGCCAAGTGTCTGATAGAAGAAGGAAAACTAAGAAATTGCTCCTCAGCATGACCCCCTTCCTTCCTTTCTGACTACACGCAGAGCTCCCCGCCCAGGGCCTGCCTGAGCTCACTGTGGAGCACTGCTTTATCAATTTCACAAAACTGTACTTTTGGGCACAAAATTCATGTGGTTTCCAGCTCTGCCCTAAGATGCTGCATAATTAAATAATAGGCTCAGGCTGTACTATCACTCCATACCTTCAACACAGCTAAATAACTCTTGATTATTGACAAGGGAAAAGTACCTCTGCCAATTAGATATGGGCAGTGTTCTTAATGACTTCCAAGTTTATCATGTCATGTAAGATCTAAAACAACCCCGTGAGGCAACTCTTACTTATTAAATCTAGCCTATTCCTGAAGCACCAAGCCTCAGAGCAAAGCAGATGAGCCAGTCCTTAAGCCACGCACCGGACCCTGAGCCCAGCACTCCCTCTGCAGGGCCAGCACTACCTCGCTTACCGGCCCATCATGATGCTCACTCATTTTCTAACTCAGTAATCTAGAATTGGGGCATAATTTTCTACATTCCCGTCTCCCAGTCATAAATGAAAGAGAAACTTTAAGTCCATGTGAGTTGTTTGCCTCCCATAGAAGGCAAACAGTGTGACTGGCTTCCAGTGTGTTTTTAGAACGGTCCCTTGCACACCTGTGGTGCTGGATCCGCTTTCAAGTACAGAATAGCCGAGACTTAGGGGGGTTTCCAGGTGCTCTCATTTTACTTTCTGGCAGCTGGCAAAGAAGAACAGCGCCCAGGGCTTTTTTCTTAAGAGTTTTTCTTTCACCACATGACTGTTCTCTTCTTTGTCATGAGCCATACTCTCAGTGAGCAAGCCAGAACCAGAGGTACTTATGCGTAGAACAGAAGAGATTGGACAGTAAGAGATCAACCCAAGGACGTGTATGCAAGCATATAAGCATAACCAATGGACACAGACAGTAGGGAGGTGAAGGCATGTGCTGGGGGGTGGGAGTAGGTGGGGAGAGGTCAATGGGGGAAAAAGGAGACACATGTAATACTTTCAACAACAACGAATTTAAAAAGAGAGAGAGAACGGACAAAACCGAGCTCAGATGCTCGTGAGGCACTCTCATCTCCAGGCTAATGACACACAGAACAAATGCAAAGACTCTGCGAGTGTAGTTTTCTGTGATGTGAAATAAATGCCAGGAGTAGTAATTGTCTCATATAATTCATCATTTCCCAAAATACCTTATTAAAGTAAAGAGAGGATCTCTGGTAGACTCAGACTTCTCAGTTTTCTTATAGCAAGAAAAGGCCCATTTTTTTCAATGCCTACAGCTCAATGCAGGGATTTCTGCTATTAAGTACTGTTGTACTGACTGACACAACAGGAGGGAGGACTTGCTGAATATAGGTCAGTGTTTTATTATTCTTTGTAGTACACAAAGCATTACATTCTATTGTGGCCCATATGCCTAAGCAAATATTTAGATGATTACCGTTTAACAAAGATGAAAATTGTATAGTTGGCCCACTAATATCACTTTTCCAGCTCTTATATATGTAATTATATGCTCATTTTATTTTATTTTATCCATATGTTACTGTTAGTGTAGTCATGAATGTTTAAATTATCTCAATGGGTTTTCAATTTTCTTATATATCATCAGAAAATAATCTTCTTTTGGCCATATTAACATATAATCAAAGTAATAACTTATAGTAATTTATCCTATGAAATGCGGAAATTACAAAACTTAATATCAAAGCTATAGCATAGGCCTTCTATGCCTGATTAGAATAAAGAACCCATTTAACTGATTTTATTATTATTTTTTAAAATTTATTTTTTTATTGATTTCAGAGAGGAATGGAGAGGGAGAGAGAGATAGAAACATGAATGATGAGAGAGAGAGAGTCATTGATTGGCTGCCTCCTGCACATCCTCCACTGGGGATGTGACCTGAAATCCAGGCATGTGCCCCGACCGGGTATCAAGCCAGGACCTCCTGGTTCATAGGTCAACACTCAACCACTGAGTCACGCTGGCTAGGCCTTGTAACCGATTTTAAATTCCAAATTTGTGCAGGTTACCTGGCAGACCAGAAGTTAAAATTAAAAATACAACATCATTTACATTAGCATCAAGAGGAAAAGTAATACATTCTTAAGTATAAATCCTACAAAATATGTACAAGATCTATATGAGGAAAACTATAAAACATCGATGAAAGAAATCAAAGAAGATTTAAATAAATGGAAAAATATATTCCATTTTCATGAATAGGCAGATTCAATGTTGTTAAGATAATGAGTTCTTCCCAATTTAATCTATAGATTCAACACAATCCTTACCAAAATCCCATCAAGTTATTTTGTAAATAATAACAAATTGATTCTAAAGTTTATATATGAAAGACTGAAAATAGCCAACACAATATTGAAGGAGAAGAACATAGTTGGAAGACTGATACTACCCAACCTCATACTTTCTATAAAGTTACAGTAATAAAGACAGTGTGGTATTGGTGAAAGAATAGACAAATAGATAAGTGGAACAGAACAGAGAGCCCAGACATCGATCCACATAAATATAGTCAGCTGATTTTTGACAAAGGAGCAAGGCCAATTCAATGGAGAGAGAAAAGTCTTTTACACAAATGGTGCTGGAACAAATGGACAAAAAAAGAAAGAAAAAATCTAGATACTGATTGTACATTTTCACAAAATTTACTCTAAATAGATTGACGATAGCCCTAAATCTTGAGACACACAACTATAAAGAAAATCTAGGTGACCTTGAGTTTGGCAATGAGTTTTTTGATACAACATCAATAACATTAAAAGGTAAAATTTTACCTTGGAAGGTAAAATTGATAAGATGGACTTAGTTAAAATTAAAGTTTTCTTCTGTTAAGAGAATTAAAAGACGAGTCACTAAGAGAAGATATTTCTACTCATATTCTATAAAAGACCAGTATGAAATGATACATGAAAGATAAGGGAAGGGAGGGTGTGTTGGGTTTGGGACCTAGAAAATTAATTTCTTTTCTAAACCTGTAGAGGCCCTCTTGGAGTAATTTATTGGGGCCAGTCTGAGAAGGGAACTGAAAATATGCCCAATGGGATGGGGGAACCACTCCTTGGTTTTCCCACTCATTAATGAACTTCATTATGAACTTGTGAATATAAATTAGAATAGAAAATGGAAATTTTTTGTATATTCTCTAAGCAGTCAGAAACTGAAGGCAAAGAAACTTTTTCTTTAAACTGTAGATATAGAAATAGGTGAAATAGATGTAAAAACCAAATTCAGAATATGTTGGCTAGTTTAGGGCCATTCAGTTTTCAGGATCTTGTGTTTGAGATTCTGACACTAAAGGAGCTCTTGGTAGGAGGGCTTGGCCCCTGGTGTCTGAGGCTGCGATGCCACACACTGCCCAGCCAGAGCTGATGTAGGTTCTGTTCATTATACAGACAGAGGGCAAGGGTCACCGTGCAGATCGGGCAGAGCCCTTTCTCACTCCTTAGACTATCCTCATTAAAGGCAAAAACTTGACAAATGGAATTTTAAAAACCATTTCCATGCTCAATGTTACTGTAGATTAAGGACATCACAGATGTTGTTTTCAGCACAAAAATTAGGGAAACTAACTCCTCCCAAAGCAAAATTGCAAGGTTTGGAGAGGAAGGTGCACCCAGAACGTTCTCCCTGCCTGCTTCTCCCTTCCCCCTGAATCAAGGGGAAGGGCTGTCCTGTGTGGTGCTGACACAGACAACCCCCTGGGTAGGAACCGTCTCCAAACTGGGTCAGAACCACTCAATAACGTTGGCTTCTTCTGTTTTAGCTTTCTGTTACCATCTAGTCACACTGCCACACACAGAAAAAGCTTATGAAGAAGTTACCATCAAGGAAAAATGCTAAACATGTACATTTTGAGTTAACAATCATAGGTTTATATTTTACGGAAGACATTTTAATAATGAAACTGTTGTTAAGGTACTTTGCATTACCTTAAATCATGTTAGAAGGAACTCCTACATCCTGCCTTTGGAGAACACATTCTGTGCCAGCGGTTTGTTTTTGTGGTCAGCAAAATTGAAAAAGAAATGTCTGCAAACACACTAAATTTTGAATTATGGGTTTTGTATCTAAAACTAACCATTTTGGCCTGGCTGGCATGGCTCCGTGGTTGAGCGTTGACTATGACCCAGGAGGTCACAGTTCAGTTCCCAGTCCAAGGCATATGCCTGGATAGCAGGCTTGATCCCCAGTTGGGGACGTGGAGGAGGCAGCTGATCAATAACTGTCTCTCATCATTGATGTTTCTATCTCCCTCTCTCCCTCTCCCTCCCTTTCTGAAATCAATAGAAAGATATTATAAAAGTAAAAAGGTAAACTAACCATTTTGTACATTGAGATCCAGTGCTACTTATGTAGTAGAGTAAATAACACAAAAAAGTAAAAGTTGACCAAAATGACACCTTTTGGTTTTTCTTTTCTACAGTACACATTTTGGAACTTCATACCCAAGAACTTGTTTGAACAATTCAGAAGAATTGCCAACTTTTATTTTCTTATCATATTTCTGGTCCAGGTAAGGCCAGTGACTGTTTCTCTCTCTCCTCAAATCTAAATGAGTGATCTTTTATTCTCAGGTGATTAACTGTGGTTTGTTAATAAGAAGGAGCAAAAACTTGGTGCCACTTATCTACAGTTTTTTCCTTTATTCTCTTCAGGGACAAGTGTATTGGTTCAGGGACCTAGGTGCTAAAACATACATGGGCATTCTGCATTTGAGTTGGTTCTGGCCATCGTCCAGCACTGGAGGGGAGATCAGGCACTTCCTAATCTTTAGGAGAGATTCACCAGCCCAGCTAAGCATTGTGACCTTACCCTCTTCTAAGTATATATAGATTCTCCAAAGAAAGCATTAAAGAGCGAGGTGGCGGGGGGG